ATAATTTACATCAGTGTTATAAACAACCGAGGTAACAAAGCTATAAGTGAGCACCATTTTTTATACATAAAATAAATAATAAACCTATTCTCTCAGTTTTTTGTTGAACCGCAATAATATAGCTATAAGATAACTCGCTTTGAATCCTCATTACCACATTTAAATTTTTTTAAATGATTTATCACTTAGCATCTTTTCCAGATTCCATGTCTTCGTTAATTAGTAATTTTCAAAATATTTCTTATCAATAAACAAGAATAGACAATAGAAAAAGGAAATATTTCATTGATAATAAAAAAATAAGACAACTGAGAAAACTATTCCACAAATTCAAATTAACTTCTCAATCCACTCAACTTCAACATTACCCGTAACTATCCCTAACTTAGAGAAAAGTTCAGAAAGAACTCTTCCATATGGTATGAGGAAATTCATTTCCTCTCGAGAAATTATTATCATTTCCTACAAGAAGTTAAAAATGATAAGAGAAAGATTAACTCTGAAATTGTAGGTGAGAAAATACAAGAGATGCTTGTCATACCAAGTAAGTGTTTCCAGTTGTTTCTCTCTTGGGCGAATACTTGCCACTAGAAGTTGAAACCAAAATTTTACGATAGGGAGTAGAGAACCAAGACTAGTGGGCTTATCGTGGTTTTCATGAATTCAACAGAGTTGGATAGAGTAGACATTATTAAATTCATAGTATTCAACACAACTACTTGTTCTTAACAGTTGATTGTCATAGCAATCAGTGATGGAGTAATGAAGAAATGAAAGCCATTGACATAAGAGTGAATGACTTCATCATCACCAGCTAGCACAATAGAGACATTCATCCAGAATTCTTTAACGAGATTAATCACTAAAAAAAATTGCGTAAATTATGGCAGTTAAATTACGGCGGTTAATGGAACCGCCACAATTAATAGTAGATTACGATGGTTTAATTAACCGACATAACGTTAGTTAAAAATTTTCACCAATAGCGTACTCGTTTTTTCATGCTTCCTGCTCAACTGTTTTACTACTTTTTCATTTTTATCGCTTCACTTCTTTTTACCACTCAAGTTGCAGTTCTCACATTAAAATAAATTTTTAATTAAAATTAATTAAACTTGTTTATTCAATATGAACGTGATAGTTTAACCCTATTCTCTTTCTATCTAAAATTGAAAAGCAATCCCTAAAAAATAGAGAACGCCACCATAGAATAAGACACACCCAACTCAACTCAGTTCACCGTCGCTTTCATCTTCTTCTTTATGTCTTATTTATTTGTTAATTCTCTCCATCATCCCTCTTCTCGTTGTCTTTTTATTTCAATCTATGAAATTGTTGTATAGTTTAGGTACTGGATAATTGTATTAGTGATTTATCATGTTATCAATGGTATGGTTCTACATCAAACTTGAATTTGCTCTTTTGGTATAAATCCTAATTTTTTGAAAACCCACTTTTGACTCAATTCCTTAGCAGTTTGTGATTCTTTGATATTTGTCGGTTCACCATATGATAGTTTGGGTATGCATATAAAATACCTATGTAATAATTTAAACTTTAGAATACAATTTTATATTCAAATCGTAACTCCAGCCTCTTTGTTATCTCTCTCAATAGAAAACATTTATATTAGAATGCCACTAAAGGCATCGATAAACACAATATATATACTAGTATAACAAATCCCTAATTATGTATTTGTTACAAAATTATAAGGATAAAGCATCTTTCTCCCATTCACCGCTCAAAACCTTTTCATTCTCTCATCCAATTCAAAATGAAAATAAATACATAAACTCTTCTCAATCTCTCAATGAATCAAACAACACAAATTCTCAATATATAAAGCAAAACAAATCTATTTATGTGTTGAAAAAAAGACTATCGAGGGGAAGAATAACGAAGGTTCTGACACAGTTCGATGCAGGTTTGACGTGGCTTGGTGGAAGAGAGGGGTGGAGTGGGATTATGGCCGAAGGAGGATGGGGAAAGTGCGAGGCAGATGTGATGCACGTGCGGCAATGTTGTTGTTCGCGATCGATTTTTTCAGATTTTTGTTTTCTTGAGTTTTGTTCGATTTTCTCTATTTGGATTTGATGTTTGTTGTCGTTGAGAATTTTTGTTTGTGTTTGTGATTGATATTGAAATTCTGGCACTTAAAACATGATAATATTGATGATCCAACATCAGAACACAATATCAAGACAAATGTTGTGACATCTGTTGACAGACAAAACTCAATATATCAAAACTGTAACTTATGTAGAAATAAATTGCAGAATAATAAATAACACAACTGATTTTAACCTAGTTCGATGCAACGTTATCTACTTTAGGGGATACCAAGGCAGAAAGAAAATTGACTATGAGAGTATTAGTTCAAATCTTAAACAATTCAAGTTTACAACTTCTCGCGTAATCACTACCTTGTGCAACTTCTAGCTAGAAACCTTCTAGATATGAGACCCCCCTCTTACTTCCTACCAATCACCTCAGTGATAAACTACAATCACAATCTAGTGACTAAAGTCAAAACAATCAAATAGAAGATTACACTTCTAATAAATAATACTAAACTCTTTGCTTAAAAGCTCATGAGTGAGAACAATACTTAATTTTGCTTAAAAGATTCAACTAAGAACAATAAATTGATAAACAATCAAGTAACAAGAAGTCTACCTAGCTGTATCAAAAGATACATGGGTGACTTACAAAAACATAAGAGACTCTCAAAACCTAAAGGTCTAGATTTCTCTTTAGTCCATGGACTTCAAAATCTTCACCAAAATATTTCTTGATCCACAAGCTGAGGGTTGCCCCTATCATGCAGAACAATCTCTGATGAGTACTAAATTGTTGTGAATTTGACTGTTAATAATTAGCACTCATCGGCTTAATTTGTTTGCTTTTTGTCAATAAACCTCAACTTTAGTGTATATTCGGTATAGTTTACGTTATAGTGTATTTATTGTGTTATCGTGCAAATATCATTAAGTTTAATTGATTTTATATCATTTTTGTAGGTATTCAAGCATTAATATTTAGGTATTTTTAGAAAGAGCATTTAATAAGCTTTCCAACGCTTCCGACCGTGTGCGGATCAGAGTTACGGTTCTCAACTTATGGCTGAAATTGTGCTGGTTTTTCAACTTACTGTCAGTTGTTGCCGGACGACGCTTTTTGCTCGTCGGGTGCCGCTTGAGCGACCTGAAGCGTGGAAAAAATGCAGTTTTGAGCGTCAGGCGATGCTTTTTGATCGCCGAGCGATGTAGACCAGTCAAAAATTCATATTTAGGGGTAAAAACACATTTTTTTGGGATGGTTTTGGGTATTTTTGATCCCAACTCCATCAAACTTCATTTTTGATAGGATTTTCTTAGAAAGCAACATTGAAGCTTGCATACGGATGATCCGGGGTGGATTTCTCTTCAATCGGCACTGACAAATCAGAAGATTTGTGGTTCATTTCTCTTCTTCTTTGTGTATTCTTTTTGTATTGAGTTTGTATAAGTATTTACTTTGAACTCATGTATATTTGTCGCCCATGGCATTATATTAAACTTGCCTTACAAATCTTAGTCCATTATTGTCCTGAATTTTTTCTATATACTAAGGATTTGAGTTGTTATAGACATATACTACTTATATTCTTATCTAAGATGATTATCTGTTAGTTTCTGAACTCTGGAAATAGATTTAATGCTGACATCTACTTGGGTATCAGAGCTTAATATCTCTGTATGGTTGTGCTGTACTGAGAGATCGTCAGTGCGATTACATAGTTGTCTTATGTGTTATTGAGGAGGTAGAGAATTATTTTCTTGGTGATATAGTTGGTCTCTCAATTTAGGTTATAGTGACATTGATGAGTATTGTTAGGTTGAATGTAACTGGTTGATAGATTTAAGTCTTTGATAAGTAGATTATATGCAGACTTGATAAGTTCTTCCTTAGTTTTTACTTTTGTTTACATTTATTTTCTATTGATAACATTTTCTTTACAAACCAATTCAAACCAAACTCATAAACGCGAGAATTTGTCTAACGGCAATTCAATAATCAGTCTCGGTGGACACGATACGATATAATCTATATCACCCGGTAAAATAATAATTTACCCTTTGTTTGTCACAGTACCGCTACATCAATCTCCTTAAATCTTGAAATAAAAAATCAAATTTCTTAAATTATCTCAACTTCCAATTTTAAAAACTTATATATAGCTGGAGATTATATCACTTATTTCAGATTAAACCTTCTTAATAATAACAATGATGGAGATGACCTTATGTCAGAAGAAGGACAATGTGCCTGTGTGGATGATGAACTAATTATTGCTACCACTAAATTATGCAAGTTAGTATATATTCATTGAAAGAACAAGGTGGTGGCACTAAAATTCTCAAGTCGGACACAATAAATATTTGTATTTTATTAGGCTAGACCTAATAGATGTTAAAAGTTATTGTTGTTAATTTTAGATTCTATCCAATATTACAGTCTCTGCTTATCCCCTTCACCTTTTCCTTTTGAATAAGATAATTTCTTGATATCCTGGAAGGTGCTTAGTAGATTTCAGATATAGAAATGCACATATGGGGCAGGACGTGAATGTATTCAGTACAACCTTCTGTGCTTATGATTTTGTTGTTTATATAAATATACACTTTTATGATTCAAAATAACATGCGCTATGTCAACATTCATAAAGTTTTATTTTGAATATACTTAATTTATTTTAATATTATGTTTATTCAAGTTGTTTTAATTGGACTATTTTATTTTTATTTTCAAAAATGCAAAAGCCAAGGAGGATTTCAAATTTTCTTAATTTAGCTAATAAGAACTCCACATATGTTGCATCTGTATTCAGTGATCCAATTCCTACTCAACTTGCTCCACAAAATCTCATGTCTTCTACTACTACACCAACTATTGATGATGTATTATCTCAATTACCTAATCAAGGATCCTCACCACCTTCATAACAAGGAGCTGGAATGTCTCATCATAGAGCTAATGTATCATCTCAATTATCAAATTGGACATTGTCACAACCTTCACAACAAGGAGCTGGAAGTTCTCATCTTCAAACTAATGTATCACCTCAATTACCTAACCAAACATCCTCTCAACCTGCACAACAAGGACCGGGGAGTTCTCAATGCAATGATAATGTATCTTCTCCATTACCTAGCCAAACATCCTTTCAGCCGGTACAGCAAGAGGTTGAGCGTCGTCAACGCAGAAGTGAACGGACATCTACCCATTATTGGTTCGTAGATGCACTAGGTATAATATGTTGATATTTTTTAATTTAATTGTGTGTGGTATTTTTATCATATATGGTTTTAGTCAAATAACATTTTATATCTTACAGGTGAAGAGCATGGCACAATTCAAAAATTGTGTTTAAGTTGTAAGGATGTCAATGACAAGCCAAATGCTTTGCGTATTATTATGGAATTTGATAAATATCATTCACCTATTGGAGAGGTTGCGAGTTTGCTTGCAGGAGTATGTGGACCGGTAGCAACAAACATCTCTTTTTTCCTATAGGTTTTGAAAAATGATCAAGTATGCCCGAAGGTTATTTTAATAAACAGTGGAAAACCCTTTTTCAGGTAAATTACTTTAAATTTATAAATGTATATAGAGTTTTCATATGAGACATTGCAAGTGACTAATATTCTTGTTATTAGAATTCTCGATTTTGTTTCAAGGTACATAAAGATTTAGCTAAAAGATATATTGAAGTTTCAATTGGTAAAAACTGGAAGAAATATAGGCTTAAGCTTTGGAATGCTAAGTATGACCCACTTTTGAGCAAAAGTCAAATTACTGAAAATAAACCTGAGGATATTAACATGGACAATTGGGCATTATATGTTCACTATCATTTCAAACCAGAGACGATGGTATGTACTTCATTTTGCATTATACATTAAATATATTTTTTCTTAATATTTTTTGAAATTATATAAAGTAGTTTGTTTCCACTTATAGGATTATTGTAAGAAAAATCAACAAATAAGAAACAAACAAGTCTTTTCTCATACGTGTGGTGCCAAGTCTTTGGCGAGGAGAAGACATAAACTAGTAAGTTTAACGGTATCTTTATCTAAACTCTTTTCTTAGGCACGAGTTAAATACATAATGATATTGTGTATTATTTCTCTAGATTATTGAGACGGGTAAGACTATCAGTCGGGGTCAAATGTAGAACATGACCCATAAAAAGAAAGAGGGGAGCTATGTGAATGAAAATCTAAGGAGATAAGGGAAAATTGATAATCTATATATCCTTATATGTTTTAAGTTTATGTTAATTTTTTTATATTATGAGTAAGTGAATGATAACCATTATTTACTTGTATTTTATGTAGAAAAAAACTGACAGTCACTTAAATCAAAACCCTGAGGTTTCTTCTTAAATTTCTTCAAATGATATTGGAAATCTATTTGAAAAAGAGTATCATGGTCGTGTTCGAGCAATGGGCATGGGAGGGATTTTTGCTACTGCTTTTAAAAAAAACACTACACGACTTAGTGATATGGAGTTTGATTCTTCAAGTGGTATACTTCAAATGGTAGTTCTTCATTGGTGGAAAAAAGAATTGCATATGTGACTGTTGAGTAAACTTTAATGTCATTAGTAATAAGTTTTCATATTAAATAAGGTAGTAGGAAGATTAAGAACCAATGTAATTTGGAAGGACAAAAGTTAGTAAGTTATGATAGTTTTTATTAGTAGCAGTTATCTTTTCTGAATTGTAAAATTCATTGGGTCTATATAAGGACCAAAAGTGCATTTTAATTAAAAAGCAATATAGAAAGGTTTGCCTCTTTCTCAAAATAAATCATAGCGAAGCCTGCTTCTTTATATTAATTTGGAATCAGAGCTCATGGCAAACATGATGAATCAAATGCCGTTGCCACGGCTAACGAAGTCAAATTATGAAAACTGGAGTATCCAAATGAAAGCTCTTCTTGGATCTCTAGATGCGTGGGATGTGACCCATGAAGGGTTTGAAGAACCAACAGAAGTTGGGGGATATACGGTAGCTCAAACGAGGGCGTTGAAAGAGACGCGATCGAAGGACAAAACGACATTATATATGTTGTTCAGGGCCGTAGATGAATCAGGCTTCGAAAAAATTGTTGGTTCGACTACGTCGAAACAAGCGTGAGACATGTTAGAAAGAGTGTTCAAAGGAGAAGATCGAGTGAAGCAAGTTCGACTCCAAACTCTTCGTGGAGAATTGGAGAGGATACAAATGAAGGATACAAAAACTATATTTGACTACATCACACGTGTGCAAAAGGTTGTGAATCAACTCACCAGAAATGGAGAGACAGTAACTGATGCACGAGTTATTGAAAAGATCTTGAGATCTTTAACAGACAAGTTTGAGAATATTGTGTGTGCAATAGAAGAGTCGAAGGACCTTTCAACGCTCTCAGTCGAAGAGCTCGCTGGTTCTCTCGAAGCACATGAACAACGAAAGATGAAAAAGAATGAAGAAGCAGTCGAAGAAGCAAATCAAACCAAGGAATCGAACAAAGACGAAAAGGTACTCTTTTCTCAAAACTTTCGAGGAAGAGGACGTGGACGTGGAGGTCGTGACTGTGGTCGAAGTGGTAGAGGTAACAACTTTGAAAGAGGACAATCGAGCCAACAAAATTTGTGTGGCGGAGGACATGGTCAAAGAGGTGGTCGTTCGAATCATTCTAACTTCGAATGCTACAAGTGTGGGAAGTATGGTCATTACGCGAAGGATTACAACTCCTACAAATGTTACAACTGTGACAAAGTGGGACATCTTGCAAAAGACTGTCGAATCAAAAAGAAGATTAAAGAAACAACCAACCTAGCCTTGGAAGCTGAATCGAATGAAGGCTTTCTCCTGATGGTTCAAAACGAAATCAACACCAATAATGACAATGTCTGGTATCTTGACTCAGGAGAAAGTAATCACATGTGTGGTTACAAACACCTGTTTAAAGATATGAAGAGAATTGAAGATGGTAATGTGTCTTTTGGAGATGCATTGAAAGTGAAGGTCGAAGGAAAGGGCACAATCAGTTACTTGCAGAAGGATGGCTTGATTGGATCAATCGAAGACATTTACTATCTACCAGATCTCAAGACCAACATATTGAGTCTGGGACAACTTACATAAAAAGGTGCTTCGATACTTATGAAAGATCGAACACTGCATTTGAAGGACAAAGTAGGATATCTGATTGCTCGTGTCGAAATGGAAAGAAATCGAATGTACAAACTAAACCCGAGGAACGTTCGAGAGAAATGTCTGCAAATCGAAGTATAAGACAAAACGTCACTATGGCATATGCGCTTTGGTTATCTACATCATGCTGGTTTGAGAAGGTTGGCAAAAAGGAACATGGTGCATGGACTACCAGACATGGATTTCGAAGGAAAGTTCTGTGAAGAATGCGTGCTCAGCAAACAAACAAGAACCTCATTTCAAAAGAAGGCCGAGTATCAAGCTAAACATATTCTCGAATTGATACATACTGACATATGTGGGCCAATCACTCCAGAATCCTTCAGTGGAAAAAGGTACTTCATTTCTTTTATTAATGACTTCTTAAGAAAAACCTGGGTTTACTTCCTGAAAGAAAAATATGAAGCATTAGAGGTGTTCAAAAAGGTCAAAGTAATGGTGGAGAAGGCAACCGACATAAAAATCAAAGCAATTTGATCTGACAGAGGAGGTGAGTATACTTCGATGGCCTTTGTGAAGTACTGTGAAGAACAGGGCATAAGGAGATTCCTAACTGCACCATATTCACCTCAGCAAAATGGTGTGGCTCAAAGGAAGAATCGAACTATTATTGACATGATTTGATCAATGCTCAAAAGCAAGAACATGTCGAAAGAATTCTTGGCAGAAGCAGTACAATGTGCTGTTTATGTTCAGAATAGATGTTCACATTCGAAGTTAGAAGACAAAACACCACAAGAAGCATGGAGTGGACAGAAGCCAACAGTTTCTCATCTCAAGGTATTTCGTAGTATAGCTTATGCACATGTACCAGATCAACAAAGAACAAAGCTTGAAGACAAAAGTCAGAAGTACATATTCATTGGATATGATGAGAAGACGAAAGGGTACAAGCTCTTCGATCCCATAAGCAAGAAAGTGACCGTGAGTAGATACGTTTGAATGAACGAAGCAAGCAAGTGGGACTGGAACAATTCGATAGAGGTTATTGACGAAGTCGAAGAAACAATTGTGGCTGTACCAACAAGTATTCCAACAAAACATGAAGAAAGTGAAGATGAAGATGAACCTCTACAACCCAGAATGAGAAGTTTGCAAGACTTATATGATTCAACAAGTGAGGTGCATCTTGTGTGCCTTCTGGCAGATGCTGAAAACATCAGTGTCGAAGAAGCGTTACGAGACAAGAAGTGGAAAAGTGCCATGGACGAAGAGATTAGAGCAATCGAACACAACAACACTTGGGAGCTAGTCGAATTGCCAAAAGATAGTAAACCCATTGGTGTAAAGTGGGTATTCAAGAAAAAGATGAATGCTCAAGGAGAATTCGAAAGATTCAAAGCCCGAATGGTTGTGAAGGGATACAAACAAAAAGCAGGAATTGACTATGAAGAAGTGTTTGCGCCTGTTGTAAGAATGGAGACAATTCGATTACTCATTTCTCAAGTTGCTCAATTCAAATGGCCAATATTTCAAATGGATGTCAAGACAGTATTTCTGAATGGTGTGCTCGAAGAAGAAATCTATGTCGAACAACCACTTGGATATATGAGAATTGGAGAAGAGAAGAAGGTGTTGAAACTGAAGAAAGCGTTGTATGGGCTGAAGCAAGCACCTAGGACATGGAACACACGCATTGACACATATTTAAAAGAGAATGGGTTCGAGCAATGTCCTTATGAACCTGCCCTCTATGTGAAGAAAAATGGAAGTAATGTATTACTTGTTGCTCTCTATGTTGATGACCTTATCTTTCTAGGAAGTGATGTTCAGATGATCGAAGATTTCAAGAGCACCATGACAAGCAAATTCGAAATGACAGACTTATGTATGATGAGATTCTTTCTTGGTATGGAGGTTCGACAAGAAGAAGCTGTAATCTTTATCTCACAAGAAAAATATGCAAAGGAAATCCTAGAAAAATATAAAATGAAGAATTGCAATCCAACTTCGACGCCAATGGTACCATGTGCAAAACTGTCAAAGTTTGACGGAGGAGAACGGGTTGAAGGAAGCAAATATTGAAGCTTGGTAGGTAGCCTTCGATATCTCACATGCACAAGGCCAGACATTTCACTAAGTGTTGGCATTGTAAGTCGATTCATGGAGGAGCCAGTACACACACATTTGAAGGCACTGAAACGAATTCTAAGATACATCCAAGGAACAATATCACTTGAAATGTTTTATTCAAAAACAGAAGACTACAAGTTAGTTGGTTATTCTGACAGTGACTGGTGCGGAGACATAGACGATCGAAAGAGCACTTCTGGATATGTGTTTTTCATGGGAAACACAACATTTACTTGGCTATCGAAGAAACAACCTATAGTAACACTTTCGACGTGTGAAGCTGAATATGTGGCAGCATCCTGGTGCGTCTGTCATGCAGTATGGCTCAGAAGGTTGATAAGCAAGATGAAGCTAAAACAGGAAGGTCCAACAATAATACAAGTGGACAATAAATCAGCTATCGAATTGTCAAAGAATCCAGTGAATCATGAACGAAGAAAACACATTGATGTTCGACTTCACTTCATTCGTGAACATGTGAAGGAGGGAAGTGTCGAATTGAGGCATGTAGCAAGCAAAAATGAAGCAGCGGATATTTTCATAAAACCACTATCGAAAGAGATCTTCGATAGAGGCAAGAAGATGATAGGAATGTTGGATGGAAGAAATATTTAAGTTTACAGAGGAGTTTTGTTGAGTAAACTTTAATGTCATTAGTAATAAGTTTTCATATTAAATAAGGTAGTAGGAAGATTAAGAACCAATGTAATTCGAAAGGACAAAAGTTAGTAAGTTATGATAGTTTTTATTAGTATCAGTTATCTTTTCTGAATTGTAAAAGTCATTGGATCTATATCAAGACCAAGAGTGTATTTTATTTAAAAAACAATATAGAAAAGTTTGCCTCTTTCTCAAAATAAATCATAACGAAACCTGCTTCTTTATATCAGTGACTATT